ACCTGCAAAAATCCCCAAAAATACAAGGATCAGTGGGGCGGATAATGGACGGACTCTGATAAAGTTTACTACAGTTCCTACGGTCAGCAGCTTAGAAAACCGTCAGGATCTACTGATTACACTGCAGACTCCCCACTGTGCACAGCTCCACCGCATGTCACCAGTTCGAGATGAGAGAGAGAGGACCAGAGTAGAGAAGAGACCAGAGAGAGTACCAGGAGATGCCGAGACCGAGAGAGAACACGAGACCAGAGAGAGAGACAGAGACCAGAGACGCGACCAGCGAGGAGAGAGAGACACCAGATGCTGAAGAGCGACCAGATGAGAGAGGAGCAGGAGATGAGGACCAGAGAGTGACCAGAGGAGAGACAGAGAGAACACAGAGAGACTGCAGAGAGACCAGAGACCAGAGAGAGTAGACTGAGACCAGAGAGTAGAGTACCCAAGAGAGAGAGATACGACCTAGAGGAGAAGAGACGAACTCCAGAGAGTAGAGCACGCAGAGTAGAAGAGACCGATAGAGAGAGAGACCAGGAGAGAGGAGAGACCCAAGAGAGAAGAAGAGGAGCCAGAGAGGGAGACCAAGCAGAGATGAGCCAGAGCGAGAGAGTCCAAGAGAGCGAGGACCAGTGCGAGACCAGAGAGAGAGAGACCAGAGAGAGAGAGAGACCAGAGAGAGACCAGAGAGAGACCAGAGAGAGACCAGAGAGAGACCAGAGAGAGACCAGAGAGGAGATCGCCCAGAGAGAGACCAGAGAGAAGATTCAGACTAGAGAGGCAGAGAGACCAGAGTAAGGAGACCAGAGAGAGATATAGACCAGAGAAGATGAGACGCCAGTAGAGGAGAATTAGACTCAGAGGAGGAACCAAGAGAGACTAGACTAGAGATGCGAGGCACCAGAGATTGACGAGAGTAACAGAGAGTAGAGGATGAGACCGCTAGATGAGAGTGAGAGAGAACCATGACGAGAGATGAGAGGACACCGCAGAGAGAGACAAAGAGAGATGACCCAGAAGAGAGAAAAGCAGTCAGGGGACAGTGGCAGGGCTGGAGGAGTGTTCAGATAAGTACGGTAGAGGCCGAGTTGTGATGTGCCTTTGAACAGTGAGTCGCGGAAGTATTTTGCAGTTGGATGCGTTGGTTAACAGGAAGGCTGTGGAGTTGTCGGGGTGATGTGGTAAGCTTGTTGGGGAGGTACGGGTTGATTGTGATGGGTGTATGTGGTCCGAGCTGTGGGGGTCCTGGGTTGATGTGGTCAGCTGTGGGGGTCCGCGGTTGATCGTGGGGCGGCAACCTTCCTGGGTCGTGATGATGGTTCAGCTGTGGGAGGTCGGGTTGCACTGTGGGGCGTGCATGTGGTCAGCTGTGGGGGTCCGTATGAGGGAGGTGAGCTGCAGAGTTTTGGAGCTGCAGCGAGTTTCTGGCAGGGGATTCTTGATTGCGGGAGGCCAAAGAGAGAAGTGATGTGCACGTAGTTAATTCCTAGTAGGTGACGAGGCTTTGTGGATCGGGTATGGCGGTGGGTGTGTGGGAGCCGGTGAGTTCGAGAGGGGCGGAGACGAGAGATATTGCGCAGGAGGAAGTAGAATGAAAGGAGTTATGTTATTGATGTGAGATTCGGAAGGAGAGTGACACTGTCGAGGAGGACACCCAGACTCTTGACTGAGGGGAGGGCCGACGGACGATGTGTTTTATGGATGGAGGACAGAGAAGCTGTTTGATTTGGATGCGGGAGTGGAGGGGGGGGGGGGGGGGGGGGTGCCTATGAGAAGGACCTTCTGTTTTAGAGGCTGTTGAGTTTTGAGTAAGAATTTGGTAGAGAACCCAGGAGATGATTTCTTGTAGGACAGAGGGTGGAGGAGGATGGGGGAGAGATGGAGAGGGTTCAGTGAGAGGTAGCGCTGGGTTGTCATCCGCGTAACAGTGGAAGTGAAATGTTGTGACGGCTGAGGAATTGTGGGGGGGGACCGAGTGGCGACGAACTATAGAATGATGAAGAGGAGGGGCCCCCAGGAGTTGAGCCCTGGGGGGGGCACACCAGCGCTGGTAGACAGCGAAAAGAGAGGATTTGAGGGATTGGTGATGGATGTGTAATAGTGGAAGTCGCCAGAAAAGGACAGGAAGGGTTGAAAACAGGCGAGGAGGGGGATTAGTGGGTGATGCCCGATGGAGGAGAGCTCTGTTATAGTCGAGCGTGGAGGGAAGAGTATCGGTGGTCAAAGTCTGCCGTGAGGGTTACAAGAAGGATGAGGATGAAGGAGTAAACGGATCGTCAGAGACTGCGATGAGGAGGTCGTGTGAGTGATTTTTCTCAAGCAGAGCTGTTTCGGTGCGGTGGAGCGGGACGAGAAGAATCCAGGAACTGAAAATTGTTACCTAGATGTCGTTTGCTCCTGTGACGGATGCGTCTGTGGAGTTGAGCAGGCGAGACCAGATTTTTCACGATTATTTTGTGGGATGAATGGAGAAGGGGTTGGCATGGGACGGAGGTTGTTGAAGTTGGTGGGAGGCACCACGAACTGGTTTTTTTGTGAGATTGTGGTGAGACTGAGGCAGTGAAATAGTCAAAATGTCAAACAAATTTTGGCGAAATATATGTCTTAATCTGAGCACCATTTCTTGATGAGACCTAAAACAATGTTTTAACTATAGAGGGGTACAAGACAAATAAAAAAAAAAAATTAGATCTCTAGTTGTAAAAAAGATACACGACATGTCTCACCTTTGGGAAGAATCGTGTGGTTGTGAAGTGTCTTGTGTTTTGTCAGTGTTTATGTGTGTGTTTGTTGAGTCTCTAAGTATTGTGTATGTGGTGTGTTGTACTGAGGGAATGAGGGTGTGTCGTATGTTGTGTGTTGGTTCTTGATAGGCTGGGAATGTGTTTTGTCTTGTGGTCTGAGTGAGTGTGTCTGTGGCCATGGAGTTACTGTGTCTATGTTGTGTGTGTCATTGTGTGTATGCTCGCTGGTGTCATTGTTAAAGTGTGTATGTGTCTTGTGTGTGTGGGAGGTTATGTGTGGTGTTGTTCTGAGATTGTGTCTATTGGTGTGTGTGTGTGTGTGTGTGTGTGTATGTGTGTGTGTCTATGTGTGTGTGTCTATGTGTGTGTGTCTATGTGTGTGTGTCTATGTGTGTGTGTCTGTGTGTGTGTCTAGGTGTGTGTGTCTATGTGTGTATGTGTGTGTGTGTGTGTGTCTCTGTGTGTGTGTCTCTGTGTGTGTGTATATGTGTGTGTGTGTCTCGGTGTGTGTGTCTCTGTGTGTGTCCAAACGTCCCGCACACACACTACAGTACCTTTGACACTGTCTTCATTGTTGTTGTGTGTCTGATTCAAATCCACAGTAAACTTCTTTCTGTAGAATGACTTTTGTTGCTTCTGGTTCAGTCTTTATTCAACACATTTCTCTGCATTCATAGAATCTATCAAATCTAAATCTTTCATTTTCTCTAACAATAACAAGTGTTTTAGAACAATCCATTCTACACACATGTTTTTTGGACGCTCAGAGACACTTCTCAGCTTTATTCTTTCTCCAAAAGTGAAGCGTCTGGATTGACTTGTGACTGACACTGACCCGGCCCAAAAGTGGTTGGACTGGTTCTGAACAATGCAGAAGAAAGTCTGTGATCTTAAGCTTTGTACATGTACTCTGGTATTATGTTAGAGTAAAGTTACTATCTATGTATGTGCTGCTGCTACTCGAGTACTACTGTCATCTATGTATGTGCTGCTGCTACTCGAGTACTACTGTCATCTATGTATGTGCTGCTGCTACTCGAGTACTACTGTCATCTATGTGCTGCTGCTACTCGAGTACTACTGTCATCTATGTATGTGCTGCTTCTACTCGAGTACTACTGTCATCTATGTATGTGCTGCTGCTACTCGAGTACTACTGTCATCTATGTATGTGCTGCTGCTACTCGAGTACTACTGTCATCTATGTATGTGCTGCTGCTACTCAAGTACTACTGTAGTGTGTGTATGTGCTGCTGATACTCGAGTACTACTGTAGTTTATGTATGTGCTGCTGATACTCGAGTACTACTGTAGTGTGTGTTACTCTGCCTCAGTGAATTTCCAGTGTGTGTGTGTGTAGTTGTACAGTAGTTGTGTCCACAGGGAAGAGAGACCGGAGTCTGCAGTAAATCCAAACACACAGGACACAAGAAGAGCTCTGTCTGCGCCATCGCTGCTGCTACAGTTTCACTGACACGGAAATGAAACTTATGAGAGAGAGAGACGGAGGGAAGGAGAGAGGGAGGGAGGGAGAGGGAGAGAGGGAGAGAGAGAGGGAGGAGGGAGAGAGGGAGAGAGGGAGAGAGAGAGGGGCCAGTGTGTGTGTGAGTCATAGATGTGTGCGTGCGCTAACAAGGAAATGACAGAGAATCAAGTGTGTACCTGCAAAAATCCCCAAAAATACAAGGATCAGTGGCGATAATGGACGACTCTGATAAAGTTTACTACAGTTCTACTGTCAGCAGCTAAAACCTCTGGATCTACTTTACACTGCAGTCTGTGAGAGAGACCAGAGAGAGAGAGACCAGAGAGAGAGAGACCAGAGAGAGAGATAGACCAGAGAGAGAGAGACCAGAGAGAGAGAGACCAGACAGAGAGACCAGAGAGAGAGATAGACTAGAGAGAGAGAGTCCATAGAGAGAGACCAGAGAGAGACCAGAGAGAGAGACCAGAGAGAGATAGACTAGAGAGAGAGAGACCAGAGAGAGATAGACTAGAGAGAGAGAGACCAGATAGAGAGACACCAGAGAGAGAGAGAGAGACCAGAGATAGATAGAGACCAGAAAGAGAGACCAGAGAGAGAGAGACCAGAGAGAGAGAGAGAGAGAGACCAGAGAGAGAGACCAGAGAGAGAGAGACCAGAGAGAGAGAGACCAGAGAGAGAGAGACCAGAGAGAGAGAGACCAGAGAGAGGCCAGAGAGAGAGAGACCAGAGAGAGAGACCAGAGAGAGAGACCAGAGAGAGAGAGACCAGAGAGAGAGAGACCAGAGAGAGAGACCAGAGAGAGACCAGAGAGAGACCAGAGAGAGAGGGCAGGGTGGAGGAGGTCAGATAAGTACGGAGGGACCATGTTGTGAAGTGCTTTGAAAGTGGTGCGGAGTATTTTGAAGTTGATGCGTTGTTTAACAGGAAGTCAGTGGAGTTGTCGGGGGTGATGTGGTCAGCTGTGGGGGTCCGGGTGATGTGGGGGTGATGTGGTCAGCTGTGGGGGTCCGGGTGATGTGGGGGTGATGTGGTCAGCTGTGGGGGGTCCGGGTGATGTGGGGGTGATGTGGTCAGCTGTGGGGGTCCGGGTGATGTGGGGGTGATGTGGTCAGCTGTGGGGGTCCGGGTGATGTGGGGGTGATGTGGTCAGCTGTGGGGGTCCGGGTGATGTGAGGGTGATGTGGTCAGCTGTGGGGGTCCGGGTGATGTGGGGGTGATGTGGTCAGCTGTGGGGGTCCGGGTGATGTGGGGGTGATGTGGTCAGCTGTGGGGGTCCGGATGAGGATGTGAGCTGCAGAGTTTTGGAGGAGCTGCAGTTTCTGGAGGGATTTGTTGGGGAGGCCAAAGAGAAGTGAGCTGCAGTAGTTAATCCTAGAGGTGACGAGGCTGTGGACGAGGATGGCGGTGGTGTGGGGGGTGGGAGAGGGGCGGAGACGAGAGATATTGCGCAGGTGGAAGTAGAAAGACAGAGTTATGTTATTGATGTGAGATTGGAAGGAGAGTGAACTGTCGAGGATGACACCCAGACTCTTGACCTGAGGGGAGGGGAGGACAGATGTGTTATGGATGGAGACAGAGAAGCTGTTAGATTTGGAGAGAGTGGAGGGGGGGGGGGGGTGTCTATGAGAAGGACTTCTGTTTTAGAGCTGTTGAGTTTGAGAAAGTTGGAAGAGAACCAGGAATGAATTTCTTGTAGACAGAGGGTGAGGGAGGATGGAGGGAGAGAGGGAGAGGGTTCAGTGGAGAGGTAGAGCTGGGTGTCATCCGCGTAACAGTGGAAGTGAATGTTGTGACGGCGGAGGATGTGACCGAGTGGGAGAATATAGATGATGAAGAGGAGGGGCCCCAGGATAGAGCCCTGGGGCACACCAGCGGAGACAGGAAAAGAGCTGGATTTGTGGGATTTGAGATGGATGTATTGTGAGCGACCAGAAAGACAGGAGGTGAACCAGGCGAGGGGGGTGTGGGTGATGCCGATGGAGGAGAGTCTGTTAAGGAGAGTGGAGGGAGAGATGGTGTCAAAGTCTGCAGTGAGGTCAAGAAGGATGAGGATGAAGAGTAAACCGGAGTCAGAGCCTATGAGGAGGTCGTTGGTGATTTTTAGCAGTGCTGTTTCGGTGCTGTGGAGGGGACGGAAACCAGACTGAAATTGTTCCTAGATGTCGTTAGCGGTGAGGTGGTTGTGGAGTTGAGCAGCGACAGATTTTTCAAGTATTTTGGAGATGAAGGGAGGGTTTGAGATGGGACGGAGGTTGTTGAAGTTGGTGGGATCCAGAACAGGTTTTTTTTGAGAATGGGTGAGACTGAGGCAGGAAATAAGTCAAAAATGTCTAAAATTTGGCAAAATATGTCTTAATCTGAGCACATTCTGACTGAGACCTAAAACAATGTTTAACAAAGAGACAAAGCAAAATGATCTAGTTTTAAAAAGATACAGAAATGTCTCCCTGAGAATGTGTGTATGTGTGTGTGTGTGTGTTTGTCTGAGGCTGAGTGTGTGTGTATGTGTGTGTCAGTGTTTATGTGTGTGTTCGTCTGAGGCTGCGTGTGTGTGTATGTGTGTGTATGTGTGTGTCAGTGTTTATGTGTGTGTTCGTCTGAGGCTGCGTGTGTGTGTATGTGTGTGTATGTCTGAGGCTGAGTGTGTGTGTCTGTGGCTGAGTGTGTGTGTCTGTGTGTGTGTTGTCTGTGGCTGAGTGTGTGTGTATGTGTGTGTTTGTCTGAGGCTGAGTGTGTGTGTCTGTGGCTGAGTGTGTGTGTCTGTGTGTGTTTGTCTGAGGCTGAGTGTGTGTGTCTGTGTGTGTGTTTGTCTGAGGCTGATTGTATGTGTCTGTGTGTATGTGTGTGTCAGTGTTTATGTGTGTGTTTGTCTGAGGCTGAGTGTGTGTGTCTGTGTGTATGTGTGTGTCAGTGTTTATGTGTGTGTTTGTCTGAGGCTGAGTGTGTGTGTCTGTGTGTATGTGTGTGTCAGTGTTTATGTGTGTGTTTGTCTGAGGCTGAGTGTGTGTGTCTGTGTGTGTTTGTCTGTGGCTGAGTGTGTGTGTCTGTGTCTGTTTGTCTGTGGCTGAGTGTGTGTCTATGTGTGTCTGATTGTCAGGCTGTGTGTGTGTGTGTGTGTGTGTGTGAATGTGTGTCGGTGTGTGTTTGTCAGGCTGTGTGTGTGTGTCTGTGTGTGTCTGTGTGTGTTTGTCAGGCTGTGTGTGTGTGTATATGTGTATGTATATGTGTGTGTCTCTGTGTGTGTGTCTATGTGTGTGTGCCTGTGTGTGTGTGTCTCTGTGTGTGTGTCTATGTGTGTGTGTGTGTGTGTGTGTGTGTGTGTCTGTGTCTATATGTGACAATTTATGTGTGTGTGTCTGTGTGTGTGTCTATGTGTGTGTGTCTCTGTGTGTGTGTCTATGTGTGTGTGTCTCTGTGTGTGTGTCTAGGTGTGTGTGTCTGTGTGTGTGTGTCTATGTGTGTGTGTCTGTGTGTGTGTGTCTGTGTGTGTGTGTCTAGGTGTGTGTGTCTGTGTGTGTGTCTCTGTGTGTGTCCAAACGTCCCACACACACACTACAGTACCTTTGACACTGTCTTCATTGTTGTTCTGTGTCTGATTCAAATCCACAGTAAACTTCTTTCTGTAGAATGACTTTTGTTGCTTCTGGTTCAGTCTTTATTCAACACATTTCTCTGCATTCATAGAATCTATCAAATCTAAATCTTTCATTTTCTCTAACAATAACAAGTGTTTTAGAACAATCCATTCTACACACATGTTTTTTGGACGCTCAGAGACACTTCTCAGCTTTATTCTTTCTCCAAAAGTGAAGCGTCTGGATTGACTTGTGACTGACACTGACCCGGCCCAAAAGTGGTTGGACTGGTTCTGAACAATGCAGAAGAAAGTCTGTGATCTTAAGCTTTGTACATGTACTCTGGTATTATGTTAGAGTAAAGTTACTATCTATGTATGTGCTGCTGCTACTCGAGTACTACTGTCATCTATGTATGTGCTGCTGCTACTCGAGTACAACTGTCATCTATGTATGTGCTGCTGCTACTCGAGTACTACTGTCATCTATGTATGTGCTGCTGCTACTCGAGTACTAATGTCATCTATGTATGTGCCGCTGCTACTCAAGTACTACTGTAGTGTATGTATGTGCTGCCACTACTCGAGTACTACTGTCATCTATGTATGTGCCGCTGCTACTCAAGTACTACTGTAGTGTATGTATGTGCTGCTGCTACTCGAGTACTACTGTCATCTATGTATGTGCTGCTGCTACTCGAGTACTACTGTCATCTATGTATGTGCTGCTACTCGAGTACTACTGTAGTTTATGTATGTGCTGCTGCTACTCGAGTACTACTGTAGTGTATGTATGTGCTGCTACTCGAGTACTACTGTAGTGTGTGTGTTACTCTGCCTCAGTGAATTCCCAGTGTGTGTGTGTGTGTGTGTGTGTTTGTCAGTGTCTATACTTATTTTCTAAACTTCATATTTTTACAGTTTTCTGGCATCAGCTCGACACAAGCCTCACGAAAACAGATCCATTCCATATTTTTATTGCAGGTTTAAAGCCTTCACCGTCGAAAACCAGCGTTAATCATTCTGTGACCTGGAGCTTTACAATTACGAGTCAAAGTCCACAAGAAACTCATACAACAATTAGAGTGGATTTAAAGGAGAAAATCAGGTTTACAGTACGACAGAGCAGAGACTTGAGCAGTGACATCACATGAGGAACAACAATAGAATATAGGACAGAAGTTCATATTAAGATCAACTAAACAGTTTACAATCTGACACACTTAGGACCACACAGGTCTGGGAAGAAAGCATCGTTCAGACTCAGTCTCAGTCCTGGGTCTACAGTCTCAGCCCTGGCTCTACAGCCTCAGTCCTGGATCTACAGCCTCAGCCCTGGGTCTACAGTCTCAGTCCTGGGTCTAGTCTCAGTCCTGGGTGAGTCCTGGGTCTACAGTCTCAGTCCTGGGTCTAGTCTCAGTCCTGGGTCAGTCCTGGGTCTACAGTCTCAGTCCTGGGTCTACAGTCTCAGTCCTGGGTCTACAGCCTCAGTCCTGGGTCTAGTCTCAGTCCTGGGTCTTATTGTAAAAAAATGGCGTGTTCAAAATCCCATATAAAGATGACCAGTATTCGAAAAGTTAAATCCAAAAAGTTTATTCCCTGATACAAAGAGTCTAAACAGCGGTCTGGACTTAAAGTTAGCTCTCCCTCTCCAATCTATATATGATATAAAGTCAGGCGCTCTGACTTTATACTGCAGGTCCCTTGTCCAGACTCGTTCACAATTTCTACATAATACAGTTTTATAAATGTGCTGAAGATCAGGACTCGTCCCTCGAAGACGTCATTGGCTCCTTATCACCTCAGTCCCCGAGACTGGCCTGGTCTAGATTTATCACCTCAGTCCCCGAGACTGGCCTGGTCAGGATTTATCACCTCAGTCCCCGAGACTGGCCTGGTCAGGATTTATCACCTCAGTCCCCGAGACTGGCCTGGTCAGGATTTATCACCTCAGTCCCTGAGACTGGCCTGGTCAGGATTTATCACCTCAGTCCCCGAGACTGGCCTGGTCAGGATTATCACCTCAGTCCCCGAGACTGGCCTGGTCAGGATTTATCACCTCAGTCCCCGAGACTGGCCTGGTCAGGATTATCACCTCAGTCCCCGAGACTGGCCTGGTCAGGATTTATCACCTCAGTCCCCGAGACTGGCCTGGTCAGGATTTATCACCTCAGTCCCCGAGACTGGCCTGGTCCGGATTTATCACCTCAGTCCCCGAGACTGGCCTGGTCAGGATTTTTGTCTCATGCGAAGCAGACACATCGTTCTCCTGCAAAGGTTACTTTTGCACAGAGACCAGGCCTGAGACCAATAATTAAATTGTTATGGGTTATACATGATTCACTGTGTGTCAAATTGCATGTTATTCACATGTGTCTATTCTCAGTCCTGGGTCTACAGTCTCAGTCCTGGGTCTACACTCAGTCCTGGGTCTACATCTCAGTCCTGGGTCTAAGTCTCAGTCCTGGGTCTAAAGTCTCAGTCCTGGGTCTACAGTCTCAGTCCTGGGTCTAGTCTCAGTCCTGGGTCTAGAGTCTCAGTCCTGGGTCTAAGTCAGTCCTGGGTCTACAGTCTCAGTCCTGGGTCTAGAGTCTCAGTCCTGGGTCTAGTCTCAGTCCTGGGTCTAAGTCTCAGTCCTGGGTCTAGAGTCTCAGTCCTGGGTCTACAGTCTCAGTCCTGGGTCTACAGTCTCAGTCCTGGGTCTACAGTCTCAGTCCTGGGTCTACAGTCTCAGTCCTGGGTCTAGAGTCTCAGTCCTGGGTCTACAGTCTCAGTCCTGGGTCTACAGTCTCAGTCTGCTGGGTCTAAGTCTCAGTCCTGGGTCTAGAGTCTCAGTCCTGGGTCTACAGTCTCAGTCCTGGGTCTACAGTCTCAGTCCTGGGTCTAAGTCTCAGTCCTGGTCTAGTCTCAGTCCTGGGTCTAGTCTCAGTCCTGGGTCTAGAGTCTCAGTCCTGGGTCTAGAGTCTCAGTCCTGGGTCTAGAGTCTCAGTCCTGGGTCTACAGTCTCAGTCCTGGGTCTACAGTCTCAGTCCTGGGTCTACAGTCTCAGTCCTGGGTCTAAGTCTCAGTCCTGGGTCTACAGCCTCAGTCCTGGGTCTAGCAGTCTCAGTCCTGGGTCTAGAGTCTCAGTCCTGGGTCTAGAGTCTCAGTCCTGGGTCTACAGTCTCAGTCCTGGGTCTACAGTCTCAGTCCTGGGTCTACAGCCTCAGTCCTGGGTCTAGAGTCTCAGTCCTGGGTCTAGAGTCTCAGTCCTGGGTCTACAGTCTCAGTCCTGGGTCTAGAGTCTCAGTCCTGGGTCTAGAGTCTCAGTCCTGGGTCTACAGTCTCAGTCCTGGGTCTAGTCCTCAGTCCTGGGGTCTACAGTCTCAGTCCTGGGTCTACAGCCTCAGTCCTGGGTCTAGAGTCTCAGTCCTGGGTCTAGAGTCTCAGTCCTGGGTCTACAGTCTCAGTCCTGGGTCTACAGTCTCAGTCCTGGGTCTAGAGTCTCAGTCCTGGGTCTACAGCCTCAGTCCTGGGTCTACAGTCTCAGTCCTGGGTCTACAGCTCAGTCCTGGGTCTAGAGTCTCAGTCCTGGGTCTAGAGTCTCAGTCCTGGGTCTAGAGTCTCAGTCCTGGGTCTACAGTCTCAGTCCTGGGTCTACAGTCCTCAGTCCTGGGTCTACAGCCTCAGTCCTGGGTCTACAGTCTCAGTCCTGGGTCTAGAGTCTCAGTCCTGGGTCTACAGTCTCAGTCCTGGTCTACAGCTCAGTCCTGGGTCTACAGTCCTCAGTCCCTGGGTCTACAGTCTCAGTCCTGGGTCTACAGCCTCAGTCCTGGGTCTACAGTCTCAGTCCTGGGTCTACAGTCTCAGTCCTGGGTCTAAGTCTCAGTCCTGGGTCTACAGTCTCAGTCCTGGGTCTACAGTCTCAGTCCTGGGTCTACAGTCTCAGTCCTGGGTCTACAGTCTCAGTCCTGGGTCTACAGTCTCAGTCCTGGGTCTACAGTCTCAGTCCTGGGTCTACAGTCTCAGTCCTGGGTCTACAGTCTCAGTCCTGGGTCTAAGTCTCAGTCCGGGTCAGTCCTGGGTCTACAGTCTCAGTCCTGGGTCTACAGAGTCTCAGTCCTGGGTCTACAGTCTCAGTCCTGGGTCTACAGTCTCAGTCCTGGGTCTACAGTCTCAGTCCTGGGTCTAGAGTCTCAGTCCTGGGTCTACAGTCTCAGTCCTGGGTCTACAGTCTCAGTCCTGGGTCTACAGTCTCAGTCCTGGGTCTACAGTCTCAGTCCTGGGTCTAGAGTCTCAGTCCTGGGTCTACAGTCTCAGTCCTGGTCTACAGTGGGTCTACAGTCTCAGTCCTGGGTCTACAGTCTCAGTCCTGGGTCTACAGTCTCAGTCCTGGGTCTACAGTCTCAGTCCTGGGTCTAGTTATTTTGAGTTTAGGGAAATGTGCAGTGTCCCCATACACGGGTAAATCCTGACACCAGCGTGAAGCGGCTGAGGAGATGGGGTCTGTTCCGGTGGATCAGCCTCATGTTTTCTGAGACGTTGTAAAGGACAAAACGCCTGCACTGTGGGGTGGTCCCGGAAAAACCGCCCGACTCTGGACCCAACCGGACCTGATACTTCGGACGCCACTGATAAACATAAAGAAAGGAACTGGTTTTTGTCACAGATCAAGGCCCAGGATTTATCATTGAATCCTAATATACATTCATGGAGAGTCCTTTCCTCTGAATAATCTCCTGTATGAAACTGCGATAACATCATAACTCTCTGAGCCCACAGCCACCTCCCAGTAACAGCGGCCCCCTCACACTCTCTCTGCGCAGGACCCTGAGGCCACAAACTGAATCTGTCCTGATTATCCGATACTTCTGCTGTTTTCTCATAAGTGTCACTCTTCTGTTCCATCAGACAGAGACCAGTTCGTGACACTGTGTTTCTGTCCAGAGTGAAGTCTGTAGAGTATTGTCGAACTCCTTCTCTGGGCTTTGGTTCTGTGGTTTAAAAACTGACTGGACCTCAGAGCCAGACAGATGTTGCAGCGTCCCTCCTCCCGTGAGCTTGGCAGTCTCTCCCTGAGCTCGGACAACAGACTGGTCACATCCCTCAAAGGCTCCTGCCTCTGAGTGCCCCTGACTGGACTTGGCCCCCTGTGATGTGAGGCAGTGCATGTGGAGCTGTAGAAACTGTTTGGCCTTTGGTGAGGGACAGTGTGTCCAGGTCACAGAGGGCTCAATCTTCAGCTCCCTCGCTCCTGCTTCCACTTGGTCTTTGGATCTCCTTGGACTTCGGCTCAGGGTCCCTCAACTCCTCCTCAGAATGGAGCTTTGCTCCACTTCCTTTGGCTCTTGTCCTCCAGGAAGTACGGATCAGTCTCTGAAGCTGTCCCGCTGGGCTGCAGTGCTGTTTGGGGCAGAGGTCCTTGAATTCCTGCTTCCTAGCTGTTGGAGTGAGCACAGCTCTGTGTCTCTGTGCTGGACGCCTGGAGGAGCAGGTGTCTCTGGCCCCAGCTTGTGCCTGCCTCTGGGCCCTCTCGAGGCTGAGGACACAGTCTCATGGTCTTGTGTTTCTCCAGGCAGCAGACCAAACACAGGAGCTGACCGTCCAGTGCGACGAACATCTTCTTCAGCTCGTTGTGCTCCAGAGCACATGATCTTTCTTTCCCTGAGAGTGTGCGATGGCGCCACACCAGCTGGTGTCTTTTGAAACACTGCAGAGTCAATAATGAGGCTGAGTAGGTGGCGCTCACAGCGTAGGATGCCACACACTGCAGACCAGAGGACCCGTTACACACAAACCCAACAACCACACACAACATGAGAACCACACACAACATGAGAACCACACACAACATTGCGAAAACCACACAACACAAGAACCACTCACACGAGAACCACGCATACAACATGAGAACCACACACAACATGAGAACCACGCATTAAGCAAAATTTTAGAAAAACTTGTTTTTTACCCAGCTCAATGCCTTTTTAGATCAGCAGCAAATTTTAGAGAAATTTCAATCAGGGATTTTAGGGTGAACCACAGCACAGAGGACTGCTCTTTTAAAGATTTTAAACGATTTTAGACTAAATTATGATTCTAAAAAAAGGTGACCGTGTTGGTTCTACTGGTATCTTAGCGCTGCCTTCGACACAGTAGACCACACCATTCTTTTATCACGCCTACAACACCTCGGCCTCTCTGGTGCTGTCCACAAATGGTTCACTTCTTATTTAACAGACAGATCCTTCATGGTAAGTGTGGATACCTGCTCCTCTCAGGTCCATAAAATCACATGTGGGTGTGTGCCCAGGGTTCCATTTTGGTCCCTAGTCCTTTTTAACCTGTACATGCCTCCCTCTTTTCGGCGGGTGTCATCAGGTGACATGGAATTGACTTCCACAGTTATGCAGATGATACACAGCTGTACATTTCCATGTCTCCTGATGATACACAGCTGTACATTTCATGTCTCCTGATGATACACAGCTGTACATCTCCATGTCTCTAATGATACACAGCTGTACCATCTCCATGTCTCTGATGATACACAGCTGTACATCTCCATGTCTCTGATGATACACAGCTGTACATTCTCCATGTCTCCTGATGATACACAGCTGTATCTCCATGTCTCCTGATGATACACAGCTGTACATCTCCATGTCTCTGATGATATACAGCTGTACATCTCCATGTCTCTAATGATACACAGCTGTACATCTCCATGTCTCTGATGATACACAGCTGTACATCTCCATGTCTCTGATGATACACAGCTGTACATCTCCATGTCTCTGATGACACCAGGCCAATGGATGCTCTTTTTAACTGCATTTTAGACCTGAAATCCTGGATGGCAGAAAACTTTCTCCAGCTCAACCAGGACAAAACTGAGGTTTTAGTCATCGGCCCTGAGGCCCAGAGAGAGAAACTTTTACCGAAACTCCAATCACACTCTTTTAATCCATCATCACAAGTGAGAAACCTGGGCGTAATCTTTGACTCTGAGCTGACTTTTATTCGTCACATCAAGAACATCACAAAAATAGGTTTTTATCATTTTAAAGAACATCGCCAGAGTCCGCCCCATTCTCTCTCGGGGCAACACGGAGACGCTGATGCTTTATCACCAGTCGCATTGACTACTGTAATGCCCCTGCTCTCTGGTCTTCCCAAAAAGAACATTTCAGGTTTACAATGACTTAAAAACTCGGCCGCACGTGTCCTGACTAAGACCAGGGGGCGTGTCCTGACTAAGACCAGGGGGCGTGTCCTGACTAAGACCAGGGGGCGTGTCCTGACTAAGACCAGGGGGCGTGTCCTGACTAAGACCAGGGGGCGGGACCACATTACACCGGTTTTAAAATCGCTGCATTGGCTCCCTGTGTGTTTCAGGATCGATTTTAAGGTTCTTTTAATGGTTTTTAAATGTCTTAATGGTCTTGGGCCTTCTTATCTTTCAGAGCTGCTTTTATCCTATGAACCTTCCGGCCCCTGCGCTCCTCCGGCAGCAGACTCCTAACCATCCCCAAAGTCAGGACACACACTCACGGCGAGGCATCTTTCCAGCACTACGGCCCCCGTCTCTGGAACAGTCTGAGGAGGAGCTCAGGGCCGCAGAGAACGTTCATATTTTTAAGAGTAGGCTCAAGACACACCTTTTTAGATTAGCTTTTTGATTAGTATTTATTATCTATTATTGCTTTTTAGTACATCTATTTATGTTTTTAGACGGATTATATTTTTATTTATTTTTATTATTTACTATTTTTTAATTATTTATTGTATCTACCCATTTACTATTGTTATTATCAATATTAGGCAGCTGCCATTTTTCTTTTTATTGTCACATTTTATTGTTCTACTTTCTATTGTATTATTGTATTGTTTTAGTGTCCCCAGTGTTTCCTCTGGAGGAGCCCTCTGCACTGAGAGCTGGGGTCTGCTGTGGCTTCGGGGGTCTGGCTCTTGGATCCGGTGGGGGTCTGGGGCCTCCTCTCTCCTCTGGGTCCTATGGGGTCTGAGTCCTGGGCCTGGTGGGGTCAGGGGCCCCTCTCTCCACTGGGTCCTGTGTCGTTGCCTGTGGCTGCAGCCGGCTCTCTGCTCCTGGTGCAGATGGCTCCTTGGATGGCGCTTCTTCAGCGGGTTACATCTGCTCCCAGCCCCATTTCTTTTATTGTTTTACCTATTTTACCTGATATGACTTTATACTTGTATGTGTGTGTGTGTGTGTGTGTGGTGTGTGTGTGTGTGTGTGTGTATACGCACGTGGTTGTATATATAATTATAAATGTGGTTTTGGGGGGGTCTGTGGGGAGGAGGGTTTAGGGCTGGGCATGTTGGATTGTTTTTAACTAAACTGTAAAGCACTTTGTGTTACACTTTTTGTATGAAAAGCGCTTTATAAATAAAATTTGATTGATTGATTGATTGATACAACATGAGAACCACACACAACATGAGAACCACACACAACATGAGAACCACGCATACAACATGAGAACCACACACAACATGAGAACCACACACAACATGAGAACCACACACAACATGAGAACCACACATACAACATGAGAACCACACACAACATGAGAACCACACATACAACATGAGAACTCTGAGGAGCACAGGGACTGAGCCTCCTGTTATCATTAGTCACAACCTCCAGCTGGGACTCTGAGGGGACTGGCTCTGAGGAGCACAGGGACTGGCCTCCACTGGGACTCTGAGGAGCACAGGGACTGGCCTCCAGCTGGGACTCTGAGGAGCACAGGGACTGGCCTCCTGCTGGGACTCTGAGGAGCACAGGGACTGGCCTCCTGCTGGGACTCTGAGGAGCACAGGGACTGGCCTCCTGCTGGGACTCTGAGGAGCACAGGGACTGGCCTCCTGCTGGGACTCTGAGGAGCACAGGGACTGGCCTCCAGCTGGGACTCTGAGGAGCACAGGGACTGGCCTCCTGCTGGGACTCTGAGGAGCACAGGGACTGGCCTCCTGCTGGGACTCTGAGGAGCACAGGGACTGGCCTCCAGCTGGGACTCTGAGGAGCACAGGGACTGGCCTCCTGCTGGGACTCTGAGGAGCACAGGGACTGGCCTCCTGCTGGGACTCTGAGGAGCACAGGGACTGGCCTCCAGCTGGGACTCTGAGGAGCACAGGGACTGGCCTCCTGCTGGGACTCTGAGGAGCACAGGGACTGGCCTCCAGCTGGGACTCTGAGGAGCACAGGGACTGGCCTCCAGCTGGGACTCTGAGGAGCACAGGGACTGGCCTCCTGCTGGGACTCTGAGGAGCACAGGGACTGGCCTCCAGCTGGGACTCTGAGGAGCACAGGGACTGGCCTCCAGCTGGGACTCTGAGGAGCACAGGGACTGGCCTCCTGCTGGGACTCTGAGGAGCACAGGGACTGGCCTCCAGCTGGGACTCTGAGGAGCACAGGGACTGGCCTCCTGCTGGGACTCTGAGGAGCACAGGGACTGGCCTCCAGCTGGGACTCTGAGGAGCACAGGGACTGGCCTCCTGCTGGGACTCTGAGGAGCACAGGGACTGGCCTCCTGCTGGGACTCTGAGGAGCACAGGGACTGGCCTCCTGCTGGGACTCTGAGGAGCACAGGGACTGGCCTCCTGCTGGGACTCTGAGGAGCACAGGGACTGGCCTCCTGCTGGGACTCTGAGGAGCACAGGGACTGGCCTCTTCTATGACAAGGTTCAAATCCAGCTAAAAAGGATTTTATCTTTATTCTGTTTATTGTACTGTGATTATTGGTGATGTTACGCCTTGGTGACTGTTTCCATCTTGTTTTGTTCAGCACTTTGAGTTTCCTTGTGCATGAACTGTGCTATACAGATAAACATGACTTGACTCCATAGTTTATAATCTGTTATCTTAAAGTAGTACTAGAATTTAATATGCTGCTATCCAGAATATATAACTACAATATGTGTTTTATAATATTTCGGGTGTTCATTTTGATATGTTCAGATGAATTATGTTAAAAAAACAGCTTTGAAGTCGGACCTTTTCACAAACGCTAGGGGGAGCCAAAATGGCGGCGATGACGTAGGAGAATCTCACAGCAGCAGCAGCAGTCTTAGCATTTATGGATATTACAATGTACATTGTGGTAAATAAATCTAAGGCAACCAAAGTGAGACTGGCATAATGTAAAAACGAATATTAGCCTTGTTAGCATGTTTTATGATATCAAGTAGAGTTAGCTAACTTGCCCAACACTAGTTTGCTTGAATCTCACAAATAAGGCTAAAAGGTTAAAAGAGTTGCACACTATTATGTACAAAACTGATGAAAATATGTTTATACCTTGTTCAGATGACAGTGAAACCTCCTACAGATTCAGCCCAGACTGCTGCTGCTGCTGTGAGAGGTCATTCTCCTACGTCATCGCCGCCATTTTGGGTCCCCCTAGCGTTTCTATGCGGAAGTGAAAAGGTGCCACTTCAAAGCAGTTTTTTTAACATCATTCATCTGAACATGTCAAAATGAACACCCGAAATATTATAAACACATATTGTAGTTATATATTCTGGATAGCAGCATATTAAATTCTAGTACTACTTTAAATACTAGATCCTGTGTGATGTGTGCATAACCTCCTTTTGCTCTGCTGAAATTTGCGCAACTATGACATTGAAATTTCCTTTAAATCATAAACGCCCAAATAAGTAATCGGCCTCTTCCGCGTCAAGGCCACGATGGTGATGTCACACGTGGTCAGTTCTGGTCTATGGTGCGGTTTAAGTGTATATTATCTACTCTTAAGCCTAGTGTATACTCGCGGCGCGGAGCTTACGGAGGTGACGTGACGTCACTTGCACAACGCGTTGGTCACCGCAAGGCCCTGCGGTGCCTGCCGCACAGCATCGACATTTTCTAACTACGTAAGGGTCGCCGCAAGGAAGCTCCGCTCTGATTGGTCCGTGTGTGTGTATTGGAAGGAAGCACGGAGCGGCTGCAGCAGGAGCATGGACGAGGCACTATGGAGCAGAGAGCTTTGTGCTTCGAAGGAAAAGCAGTTTGGGCTCAGAGCCTGATATACAGGAGACTGTGGACTATCTAACTTATATATAACTTATATCTAACATATATAGAACTTATATCTAACTTAGATCTAACTTATATATAACTTATATCTAACATATTTATAACTTATATCTAACATATATATAACTTATATCTAACATATATAGAACTTATATCTAACATATATATAACTTATATCCAACATATATATAACTTATATCTAACATATATATAACTTATAAACTGTTCCTGTCTTGTTTGAATCGTAGCTGCGTTTGTTGCTTTCCTCCTGCACTCGTAAATCGTTCATGTTTGTCTCAGATATTTACCACTATTATTGTTTTGCTGTTTGTGCTGAAAACTATTTAATAATAACTATGTTTCCAACAAGAACTGTGTCTTTATTCACAGCATCACAGTTGAAATGACTTATAAAATAATGAATCCATAAAACTATCACATAAACCTACAGTAGAAACACGTGTAATGAGCTCAAACAGCTTTGTTTGTTATTGTTGTTCTGAAGAGGACAAAGTAGCAGCGTAAATGGGACCGCTCCTGTGTGATCGCCCTCATGTGGTTTGTTGTGGGATTACAACATTCTCCTCAAAACTCCGTAAGGGGAACACGCCAGTATAACATCCATTGTGCTTACGTAGGTCCACCGCAACCGCTAACGTAAGCCACGCCGCGCAAGTATACACTAGGCTTTATGATTCACACTGCAACAAGTGACCACAAATGAGTCAAAAACTGCTCAAATTTGGCTAAATGTGTCTTAATCTGAGCACATACGGACTGAGCTTTAAAACAAGATTTGCCGATGAGACGAAACAAAATAATCTTATTTTAAAACGACAAAAGAAATGTCTCCCTTGGAATGAGAAAATAATTACCTGTCGACTTCCTCTTTGGAGAAAAGGAACTTGTCTTTGATCTTCTGTTCTGCTTTGTTCTGCCACCAGAACGTGTGAGTGTTCTTCCTGTGCTCCGGCCTGGAATCAGACAGAGACCATAAGAGCGGACCACAGGACGGAGCCATTTCAGAGAGATTTTCATTGTTGTTACAAATGGGATTAATGAATGTGGATCTAAGGCCCGAGGCCTTGGTCTACGGCCTCGGTCCTGGGTCTACAGCCTCGGTCCTGGGTCTACAGCCTCGGTCCTGGGTCTACAGCCTCGGTCTACAGCCTCGGTCCTGGGTCTACAGCCTCAGTCCCGGGTCTACAGCCTCGGTCCTGGGTCTACAGTCTCGGTCCTGGGTCTACAGCCTCAGTCCTGGGTCTACAGCCTCAGTCCTGGGTCTACAGCCTCAGTCCTGGGCCTACAGCCTCAGTCCTGGGCCTACAGCCTCAGTCCTGGGTCTACAGTCTCAGTCCTTGGTCTACAGTCTCGGTCCTGGGCCTACAGCCTCAGTCCTGGATCTACAGCCTCAGTCCTGGGTCTACAGCCTCAGTCCTGGGTCTACAGCCTCAGTCCTGGGTCTACAGCCTCAGTCCTGGGCCTACAGCCTCAGTCCTGGGTCTACAGCCTCAGTCCTGTCAGTCCCGGGTCTACAGCCCTGGCCTACAGCCTCAGTCCTGGATCTACAGCCTCAGTCCTGGGTCTACAGCCTCAGTCCTGGGTCTACAGCCTCAGTCCTGGGCCTACAGCCTCAGTCCTGGATCTACAGCCTCAGTCCTGGGCCTACAGCCTCAGTCTGGGCCTTCAGCCTCAGTCCTGGGCCTACAGCCTCAGTCCTGGGTCTACAGCCTCAGTCCCGGGTCTACAGCCTCAGTCCTGGGTCTACAGCCTCAGTCCTGGGTCTACAGCCTCAGTCCTGCAGGGTCTACAGCCTTCCATTCAAACCCAGTTCTTACGTTGCCATGTGCTCGATGAGTCCAGCAAAGAGCACCATCATGTTTCCGTCCGTCACGTGTTTCTCCACTTCGAGTCCGCAGCAGTAACACCAGAACTTCTGAGTGTGAAGAGAGCCGTCGAACTTCTGCACCTGAGGCTTTTTCAGCAGCCGCCGAGCCTCTTTCACCTCGACACAGATCAAACCACACTTAAGTATAAGTCAAGGGTTTTCATGTGGTAATGTAGCAGAGATGTTTACAACTATATATTTCTTGCAGTAGATTCATAATATACAGTGTTTTATCCTTGCTTCCTCATTGTGCTAAACCTAGAGATTTTTTACTTGTGTGTGTGTAGTTGTACAGTAGTTGTGTCCACAGGGAAGAGAGACCAGAGTCTGCAGTAAATCCAAACACACAGGACACAAGAAGAGCTCTGTCTGCGCCATCGCTGCTGCTACAGTTTCACTGACACGGAAATGAAACTTATGAGAGAGAGGGAGGAGGGAGAGAGAGAGAGACGAGGGAGAGAGAGAGGGAGAGAGAGAGGGAGGAGGGAGGGGCCAGTGTGTGTGTGAGTCATAGATGTGTGCGTGCGCTAACAAGGAAATGACAGAGAATCAAGTGTGTACCTGCAAAAATCCCCAAAAATACAAGGATCAGTGTCGATAATGGACGACTCTGATAAAGTTTACTACAGTTCTACTGTCAGCAGCTAAAACCTCTGGATCTACTTTACACTGCAGTCTGTGAGAGAGACCAGAGAGAGAGAGAGACCAGAGAGAGACCAGAGAGAGAGACCAGAGAGAGAGACCAGAGAGAGAGAGACCAGAGAGAGACCAGAGAGAGAGAGAGACCAGAGAGAGACCAGAGAGAGACCAGAGAGAGAGAGAGACCAGAGAGAGACCAGAGAGAGAGAGAGAGACCAGAGAGAGAGATAGACCAGAGAGAGACCAGAGAGAGAGAGAGAGACCAGAGAGAGAGAGAGAGAGACCAGAGAGAGAGAGACCAGAGAGAGAGAGACCAGAGAGAGATAGACTAGAGAGAGAGAGAGACCAGAGAGAGAGAGAGACCAGAGAGAGAGATAGACCAGAGAGAGAGAGACCAGAGAGAGAGAGACCAGAGAGAGTGACCAGAGAGAGACCAGAGAGAGACCAGAGAGAGAGAGACCAGAGAGAGAGACCAGAGAGAGATAGACTAGAGAGAGAGAGTCCAGAGAGAGAGAGACCAGAGAGAGGCCAGAGAGAGATAGACTAGAGAGAGAGAGAGACCAGAGAGAGAGAGACCAGAGAGAGATAGACTAGAGAGAGAGAGACCAGAGAGAGAGACACCAGAGAGAGAGATAGAGACCAGAAAGAGAGACCAGAGAGAGAGAGAGAGAGAGACCAGAGAGAGATAGACTAGAGAGAGAGAGACCAGAGAGAGAGACCAGAGAGAGACCAGAGAGAGAGAGAGCCCAGAGAGAGAGACCAGAGAGAGACCAGAGAGACCAGAGAGAGAGACCAGAGAGAGAGAGACCAGAGAGAGACCAGAGAGACCAGAGAGAGAGACCAGAGAGAGACCAGAGAGACCAGAGAGAGAGACCAGAGAGAGACCAGAGAGAGAGACCAGAGAGAGACCAGAGAGAGAGAGAGAGAGACCAGAGAGAGAGACCAGAGAGAGACCAGAGAGACAGGGCAGGGTGGAGGAGGTCAGATAAGTACGGAGGGACCATGTTGTGAAGTGCTTTGAAAGTGGTGCGGAGTATTTTGAAGTTGATGCGTTGTTTAACAGGAAGTCAGTGGAGTTGTCGGGGGTGATGTGGTCAGCTGTGGGGGTCCGGGTGATGTGAGGGTGATGTGGTCAGCTGTGGGGGTCCGGGTGATGTGGGGGTGATGTGGTCAGCTGTGGGGGTCCGGGTGATGTGGGGGTGATGTGGTCAGCTGTGGGGGTCCGGGTGATGTGGGGGTGATGTGGTCAGCTGTGGGGGTCCGGGTGATGTGGGGGTGATGTGGTCAGCTGTGGGGGTCCGGGTGATGTGGGGGTGATGTGGTCAGCTGTGGGGGTCCGGATGAGGATGTGAGCTGCAGAGTTTTGGAGGAGCTGCAGTTTCTGGAGGGATTTGTTGGGGAGGCCAAAGAGAAGTGAGCTGCAGTAGTTAATCCTAGAGGTGACGAGGCTGTGGACGAGGATGGCGGTGGTGTGGGGGGGTGGGAGAGGGGCGGAGACGAGAGATATTGCGCAGGTGGAAGTAGAAAGACAGAGTTATGTTATTGATGTGAGATTGGAAGGAGAGTGAACTGTCGAGGATGACACCCAGACTCTTGACCTGAGGGGAGGGGAGGACAGATGTGTTATGGATGGAGACAGAGAAGCTGTTAGATTTGGAGAGAGTGGAGGGGGGGGGGGGGGGTGCCTATGAGAAGGACTTCTGTTTTAGAGCTGTTGAGTTTGAGAAAGTTGGAAGAGAACCAGGAATGAATTTCTTGTAGACAGAGGGTGAGGGAGGATGGAGGGAGAGAGGGAGAGGGTTCAGTGGAGAGGTAGAGCTGGGTGTCATCCGCGTAACAGTGGAAGTGAATGTTGTGACGGCGGAGGATGTGACCGAGTGGGAGAATATAGATGATGAAGAGGAGGGGCCCCAGGATAGAGCCCTGGGGCACACCAGCGGAGACAGGAAAAGAGCTGGATTTGTGGGATTTGAGATGGATGTATTGTGAGCGACCAGAAAGACAGGAGGTGAACCAGGCGAGGGGGGTGTGGGTGATGCCGATGGAGGAGAGTCTGTTAAGGAGAGTGGAGGGAGAGATGGTGTCAAAGTCTGCAGTGAGGTCAAGAAGGATGAGGATGAAGAGTAAACCGGAGTCAGAGCCTATGAGGAGGTCGTTGGTGATTTTTAGCAGTGCTGTTTCGGTGCTGTGGAGGGGACGGAAACCAGACTGAAATTGTTCCTAGATGTCGTTAGCGGTGAGGTGGTTGTGGAGTTGAGCAGCGACAGATTTTTCAAGTATTTTGGAGATGAAGGGAGGGTTTGAGATGTCACGGAGGTTGTTGAAGTTGGTGGGATCCAGAACAGGTTTTTTTTTTAGAATGGGTGAGACTGAGGCAGGAAATAAGTCAAAAATGTCTAAAATTTGGCAAAATTTGTCTTAATCTGAGCACATTCTGACTGAGACCTAAAACAATGTTTAACAAAGAGACAAAGCAAAATGATCTAGTTTTAAAAAGATACAGAAATGTCTCCCTGAGAATGTGTGTATGTGTGTGTATGTGTGTGTCAGTGTTTATGTGTGTGTTTGTCTGAGGCTGAGAATGTGTGTATGTGTGTGTCAGTGTTTATGTGTGTGTATGTCTGTGGCTGAGTGTGTGTCTGTGTGTGTGTTTGTCTGAGGCTGAGTGTGTGTGTCTGTGGCTGAGTTGTCTGTGGCTGAGTGTGTGTGTCTGTGTGTGTTTGTCTGTGGCTGAGTGTGTGTGTCTGTGGCTGAGTGTGTCTGTTTGTCAGGCTGTGTGTGTGTGTGTGTGTGTCTATGTGTGTCTGTGTGTGTTTGTCAGGCTGTGTGTGTGTGTGTGTGTGTGTCTATGTGTGTCTGTGTGTGTTTGTCAGGCTGTGTGTGTGTGTATATGTGTATGTCTATGTGTGTGTGCCTGTGTGTGTGTGTCTATGTGTGTGTGTCTACGTGTGTGTGTATGTGTGTGTGTCTATGTGTGTGTGTATGCGTGTGTGTGTCTATGTGTGTGTGTCTATGTGTGTGTGTCTATGTGTGTGTGTCTATGTGTGTGTGTCTCTGTGTGTGTCCAAACGTCCCACACACACACTACAGTACCTTTGACACTGTCTTCATTGTTGTTGTGTGTCTGATTCAAATCCACAGTAAACTTCTTTCTGTAGAATGACTTTTGTTGCTTCTGGTTCAGTCTTTATTCAACACATTTCTCTGCATTCATAGAATCTATCAAATCTAAATCTTTCATTTTCTCTAACAATAACAAGTGTTTTAGAACAATCCATTCTACACACATGTTTTTTGGACGCTCAGAGACACTTCTCAGCTTTATTCTTTCTCCAAAAGTGAAGCGTCTGGATTGACTTGTGACTGACACTGACCCGGCCCAAAAGTGGTTGGACTGGTTCTGAACAATGCAGAAGAAAGTCTGTGTTCTTAAGCTTTGTACATGTACTCTGGTATTATGTTAGAGTAAAGTTACTATCTATGTATGTGCTGCTGCTACTCGAGTACTACTGTGATCTATGTATGTGCTGCTGCTACTCGAGTACTACTGTCATCTATGTATGTGCTGCTGCTACTCGAGTACTACTGTCATGTATGTATTGTGCTGCTGCTACTCGAGTACTACTGTCATCTATGTATGTGCTGCTGCTACTCGAGTACTACTGTCATCTATGTATGTGCTGCTGCTACTCGAGTACTACTGTCATCTATGTATGTGCTGCTGCTACTCGAGTACTACTGTCATCTATGTATGTGCTGCTGCTACTCGAGTACTACTGTCATCTATGTATGTGCTGCTGCTACTCGAGTACTACTGTCATCTATGTATGTGCTGCTGCTACTCGAGTACTACTGTCATCTATGCATGTGCTGTTGCTACTCGAGTACTTCTGTCATCTATGTATGTGCTGCTGCTACTCGAGTACTACTGTAGTTTATGTACTGTATGTGCTGCTGATACTCGAGTACTACTGTAGTGTGTGTTACTCTGCCTCAGTGAATTTCCAGTGTGTGTGTGTGTAGTTGTACAGTAGTTGTGTCCACAGGGAAGAGAGACCGGAGTCTGCAGTAAATCCAAACACACAGGACACAAGAAGAGCTCTGTCTGCGCCATCGCTGCTGCTACAGTTTCACTGACACGGAAATGAAACTTATGAGAGAGAGAGACGGAGGGAGAGAGAGAGGGAGGAGGGAGGGAGGGAGAGAGGGAGGGGCCAGTGTGTGTGTGAGTCATAGATGTTTGCGTGCGCTAACAAGGAAATGACAGAGAATCAAGTGTGTACCTGCAAAAATCCCCAAAAATACAAGGATCAGTGGCGATAATGGACGACTCTGATAAAGTTTACTACAGTTCTACTGTCAGCAGCTAAAACCTCTGGATCTACTTTACACTGCAGTCTGTGAGAGAGACCAGAGAGAGAGACCAGAGAGAGAGAGACCAGAGAGAGAGAGAGACCAGAGAGAGAGAGACCAGAGAGAGAGAGAGACCAGAGAGAGAGACCAGAGAGAGAGAGAGAGACCAGAGAGAGACCAGAGAGAGAGAGAGAGAGAGGGACCAGAGAGAGAGAGAGAGACCAGAGAGAGAGAGACCAGAGAGAGATAGACTAGAGAGAGAGAGAGACCAGAGAGAGAGACCAGAGAGAGAGATAGACCAGAGAGAGAGAGACCAGAGAGAGAGAGACCAGAGAGAGAGACCAGAGAGAGACCAGAGAGAGAGAGACCAGAGAGAGAGACCAGAGAGAGATAGACTAGAGAGAGAGAGTCCAGAGAGAGCGAGACCAGAGAGAGACCAGAGAGAGATAGACTAGAGAGAGAGAGACCAGAGAGAGAGACCAGAGAGAGAGACCAGAGAGACACCAGAGAGACCAGAGAGAGAGACCAGAGAGAGACCAGAGAGACCAGAGAGAGAGACCAGAGAGAGCGAGAGAGACCAGAGAGAGAGAGAGAGACCAGAGAGAGAGACCAGAGAGAGACCAGAGAGACAGGGCAGGGTGGAGGAGGTCAGATAAGTACGGAGGGGCCATGAGAGAGTGGTAGGGGGGGAGGGGGGGGGAGGTGCCTATGAGAAGGACTTCTGTTTTAGAGCTGTTGAGTTTGAGAAAGTTGGAAGAGAACCAGGAATGAATTTCTTGTAGACAGAGGGTGAGGGAGGATGGAGGGAGAGAGGGAGAGGGTTCAGTGGAGAGGTAGAGCTGGGTGTCATCCGCGTAACAGTGGAAGTGAATGTTGTGACGGCGGAGGATGTGACCGAGTGGGAGAATATAGATGATGAAGAGGAGGGGCCCCAGGATAGAGCCCTGGGGCACACCAGCGGAGACAGGAAAAGAGCTGGATTTGTGGGATTTGAGATGGATGTATTGTGAGCGACCAGAAAGACAGGAGGTGAACCAGGCGAGGGGGGTGTGGGTGATGCCGATGGAGGAGAGTCTGTTAAGGAGAGTGGAGGGAGAGATGGTGTCAAAGTCTGCAGTGAGGTCAAGAAGGATGAGGATGAAGAGTAAACCGGAGTCAGAGCCTATGAGGAGGTCGTTGGTGATTTTTAGCAGTGCTGTTTCGGTGCTGTGGAGGGGACGGAAACCAGACTGAAATTGTTCCTAGATGTCGTTAGCGGTGAGGTGGTTGTGGAGTTGAGCAGCGACAGATTTTTCAAGTATTTTGGAGATGAAGGGAGGGTTTGAGATGGGACGGAGGTTGTTGAAGTTGGTGGGATCCAGAACAGGTTTTTTTTGAGAATGGGTGAGACTGAGGCAGGAAATAAGTCAAAAATGTCTAAAATTTGGCAAAATATGTCTTGATCTGAGCACATTCTGACTGAGACCTAAAACAATGTTTAACAAAGAGACAAAGCAAAATGATCTAGTTTTAAAAAGATACAGAAATGTCTCCCTGAGAATGTGTGTATGTGTGTGTCAGTGTTTATGTGTGTGTTTGTCTGAGGCTGAGTGTGTGTGTATATGTGTGTGTATGTCTGAGGCTGAGTGTGTGTGTATGTGTGTGTATGTGTGTGTATGTGTGTGTATGTCTGTGTCAGTGTTTATGTGTGTGTTTGTCTGAGGCTAAGTGTGTGTGTTTGTCTGAGGCTGAGTGTGTGTGTATGTGTGTGTATGTCTGAGGCTGAGTGTGTGTGTATGTGTATGTGTGTGTTTGTCTGTGGCTGAGTGTGTGTGTCTGAGGCTGAGTGTGTCTATGTGTGTGTGTCTGTGTGTATGTGTGTGTCAGTGTTTATGTGTGTGTGTCTATGTGTATGTCTATGTGTGTGTGTCTGTGTGTGTGTGTTTGTGTGTGTCTATGTGTGTGTGTATGTGTGTGTGTGTTTCTGTGTTTTTGTGTCTATGTGTGTGTGTCTGTGTGTGTGTGTCTATGTGTGTGTGTCTGTGTGTGTCTCTGTGTGTGTCTCTGTGTGTGTGTGTCTATGTGTGTGTTTCTATATGTGTGTGTGTGTCAATGTGTGTGTTTCTATATGTGTGTGTCTATGTGTGTGTGTCTATAAGTGTGTGTCTCTGTGTGTGTCCAAACGTCCCACACACACACTACAGTACCTTTGACACTGTCTTCATTGTTGTTGTGTGTCTGATTCAAATCCACAGTAAACTTCTTTCTGTAGAATGACTTTTGTTGCTTCTGGTTCAGTCTTTATTCAACACATTTCTCTGCATTCATAGAATCTATCAAATCTAAATCTTTCATTTTCTCTAACAATAACAAGTGTTTTAGAACAATCCATTCTACACACATGTTTTTTGGACGCTCAGAGACACTTCTCAGCTTTATTCTTTCTCCAAAAGTGAAGCGTCTGGATTGACTTGTGACTGACACTGACCCGGCCCAAAAGTGGTTGGACTGGTTCTGAACAATGCAGAAGAAAGTCTGTGTTCTTAAGCTTTGTACATGTACTCTGGTATTATGTTAGAGTAAAGTTACTATCTATGTATGTGCTGCTGCTACTCGAGTACTACTGTCATCTATGTATGTGCTGCTGCTACTCGAGTACTACTGTCATCTATGTATGTGCTGCTGCTACTCGAGTACTACTGTCATCTATGTATGTGCTGCTACTCGAGTACTCCTGTAGTGTGTGTGTTACTCTGCCTCAGTGAATTCCCAGTGTGTGTGTGTGTGTGTGTTTGTCAGTGTCTATACTTATTTTCTAAACTTCATATTTTTACAGTTTTCTGGCATCAGCTCGACACAAGCCTCACGAAAACAGATCCATTCCATATTTTTATTGCAGGTTTAAAGCCTTCACCGTCGAAAACCAGCGTTAATCATTCTGTGACCTGGAGCTTTACAATTACGAGTCAAAGTCCACAAGAAACTCATACAACAATTAGAGTGGATTTAAAGTAGTACTAGAATTTAATATGCTGCTATCCAGAATATATAACTACAATATGTGTTTATAATATTTCGGGTGTTCATTTTGACATGTTCAGATGAATTATGTTAAAAAAAAACTGCTTTGAAGTGGCACCTTTTCACTTCCGCATAGAAACGCTAGGGGGCGCCAAAATGGTTAGGGTTAGGGTTATGCTAACACCTATTAACGGTTTAATTAGCATTTTTATCAATGATTGCATCACATGTAGTCTATGTTTTCAACTTCTGCAGCTTTTTGTTAATAAAAGTAAAATATTTATTTAATTCAAGTTATTTTGATTAGCATTTATGGATATTACAATGTACATTGTGGTAAATAAATCTAAGGCAACCAAAGTGAGACTGGCATAATGTAAAAACAAATATTAGCCTTGTTAGCATGTTTTATGATATCAAGTAGAGTTAGCTAACTTGCCCAACACTAGTTTGCTTGAATCTCACAAATAAGGCTAAAAGGTTAAAAGAGTTGCACATTATTATGTACAAAACGGATGAAAATATGTTTATACCTTGTTCAGATGACAGTGAAACCTCCTACAGATTCAGCCCAGACTGCTGCTGCTGTGAGAGGTCCTTCTCCTACATCATCGCCGCCATTTTGGCTCCCCCTAGCGTTTCTATGCGGAAGTGAAAAGGTGCCACTTCAAAGCTGTTTTTTTAACATAATTCATCTGAACATGTCAAAATGAACACCCAAAATATTATAAACACATATTGTAGTTATATATTCTGGA